CAGGGACTGGGATTCTTGTTAACTTTGAGGGATGCATGGGTTCCACTCAATATCAGCAGATCCTGGAGACCAATGTCCAGAAATCCATGACAAAGATGAAGCTGCAACCCTAAACACTGCTAAAATTCTACAAAAGCATTCATGTAGAGGAACAAGTACAACACTCTGGAATGGCCATCTCAGTCCCTAGACCTGAATATTATTGAAAATCTGTGGTGTGAGTTAAAGAGAGATGTCCACGCTCAGAAGCCACCAAACCTGAATGAACTAGAGATGTTTTGTAAAGAAGAATGGTCCAAAATACCCTCAACAAGAAACCAGACTCTCATTAGAAGCTATAGGAAGCGTTTAGAGGCCGTTATTTCTGCAGAAGGAGGATCTACTAAATATTGACTTCATTTATTTTTTTCTGGTGCCCAAATTTATGGACCTGCCTAATCTTGTTTAAACAATTTTTGCACACTTTCTGTAAATCCTATTAACTTTGTTTAACTTTTCAACATCACTGTGTGCGTCTCCTATATATGCACGTGAAAATTTCTGTCGGAACAAACGATTTATACAGGAAAATCATGAAGATTAACAAGGCTGCCCAAACTTTTGCATCCCACTGCAGTTAGCAAAGCAAATGCAAAAACATAGAAGCTCAGAGTTTTTCATTCCTTCAGTGTTAGTGTCTACTGAAGGCTGAATAAGCAGGCAGACTGTGTAAATAAATTCTTCATGGGTAGATCTGGTACATTCTGATCTAGAACAGGATGAGGATTACTGTCACCTCTGTAGGAGTGTCTGTCTGAGCTGCTGCCAACATCCCGAGGAGAAACGACAGACTCTTCATTTAAAAACCAGTGTCCAGTTATAGTCTGGTCTGGTTTCTAGAAGCACCTGACAACAACCTAAAATCCTGATGTGAGTTTGCAAAAAGTTAAACATGAGAAGAATTATTTGTGTTGATAAATAATTAATAAGGAAGTTCAATAAATTAAAAATAAAGTGCAGATGATATTCAGCTGTACTGCTCCTTTAAGGATTCTGAGTTTTATAAAGTGTCTGAATTACTAGAGTGTCTTTCAGCTACCAGCAGCTAGCTAGAAGATAACTTCCTGCAGTTAAACTCTGAATGTCTGACCATTGCCCCTGAGAGCATGGTTTCCCTGATTAGTCTAAAACGTGGTCATTTATCCTCAGCCGTCAAGACAAACTTATGGAATTTGGGTGTTATTTTTGACCAATCAATGTCTCTTGAAGGCCTTTCAAAAACGTTGGTCCGAAATGGTTTTTATCACTTAAGAAATATCGCCAAACTGCGAAGGTTGGTGTCAAAACATGAACTAGAAATGGTTATCCATGCCTTTGTCTCCTCCCCTCTAGATTACTGTAACACACTCTTCACATGTTTGAACAAAAAAGCACTTGGCCGCCTTCAGTTGGTCCTGAACTCTGCAGTGAAGCTCCTAACTTGAGCAAACAGAAGAGCTCACATCACTCCTATTCTGTCTTTGCACTGGTTACCCACAGAGGCGGAGCTGGCCTAAATGGCGCCCTGTGCGAGATCCCCCGTGACCCCCCCCCACACACACACACACACACACACACAAACACACACACACACACAAGAAAAAAAATTACACCTACAACTTTCTTTCAAATTGCGTGGAGTGTATTATATATAACAACGTTTGCTAACTGAATACAACATCCAGCTCCTGGCCACCTTCTCACCACTTGTCAAAGTTCTACTGAAATAGTGATGGTGACAACACCTGCCATCGCCTTCATTCCTGGGAAATATGAAAGTAGTTGGCACCTTGGTAGGTCCTCCTCGAAGTAGCTCTGTGCGTATGCTGTCGGTAATTGGTGATGGCCACTTGGCTGGGTCTGAAGAAAGAGGCTCATCATCACCTTCAATGGGACTCATTGGTTGATCGTTCAGGCTTCTCTATTGACAGAAAACAGAAGCGTAACTCAACACATTGCTATGTGGACCATTTCACATATTCTATTAAAACACAATATGTGACATTCAAATTTCTCTAATGTTTGCAGGACACACACACACACACACACACACACACACTTGTGCAAAACTTACCTGACATATCTTGTTGGGGAGAAGTGGCAGCTGGCTGTCCCTCATCAAGTTCACATATACTGGTAGGTCTCTCTATTGACAGAAAATGGAAGCATAACTCACCACATTGCTATATGGAACAATTCCCATATTCTGTGAAAATATTATTTAAATGTCTATAGCTAAATGTTTGCTGGACACACACACGTGTGCAAAACCCACCTAACGTATCTTCCTGGGGAGATGTGGTGCCAGCAGACTGTCCCTCTTCGAGTTCAAATACTGGCCTACTGGTATGAGCAGTGGAGGTAGATGGCTGTTCCTCAGTGGCAGCTGATGTCATCCCAAAATATCTGTGTAGGGCTCCTGATGTTGCATAAAACAAACAATACAATCTTCATGTCACGTCTGTTGCTTAAGCATTTTAATTAACATGTTACAATGAGCATTTACAGTTTTCAGCAGTGGTGGAAAGAATTCTTAAAATCTGTACTCAAGTACAAGTACTGTTACATTGCTAAAATATTACTCACTTACAAGTAAAAGTACTGGTTTTAGAGAAATACTCAAGTAAAAGTACAAATTATTCATAAAAACCTCAGAGTATTATTCATTTTTAACGGCTGATGTCACCATCACTTCTCCAGACTGGGGCTGCCTGGAAATTGTGTGTTTTCCTTTACCAAAAGTTAAAACACCAACAATCTATTAATCATTAATAACTGATAAAATACAAAACAAGTGTTTTTCCCTAATTTTTTTTTTTGTCATTTTAAGTTTTTATTTCCTTATTCAGCAAATGTCTCCGGCACACAAAGAACTAAATGACCAGAGGAGCCACGACTATTGATTAAATATCCATGAATCCATTTTAACTGGTTAAATTCTTCAACTCTCCCACGCTGCTTCAAGGTCACTGTGAGTTAACATAGCCGCGGTGTGCTGTGCAGCACACAACGCAACACGATGACATCATCGACTTGTACAGTGCTGAAAGGCGAGACAGTCTCAACTTTCAGCTAAAAAAAGACCGCTCTAGCTATTATAGTTTTTATGTTATGGCAGTTTACAGTTTAAACGGGATCTTACTAGCAGGGCACCTCCAGCGGCCCGCTGCCGCTCCGTTTTTTGTGGGGTAAATAATACGTAGCTCATTTCCCGAGTCCAAAAAGAAAGGCGAATGGCGCCGGCGCGAGACCTGCCGCCCGCCGTCAATGTATTTCAGCAAAATTCTCAAAGACTCATTTTAATTCGATAGCGTTTGGTTATCAGCCTTTCGGTTTTCCCACTCTTAGCTTTTCATAAAAGCTCATTTGACAAAGAAAAAGCTAGCGGTTGGAAGTAGTTCTAAATACATGCAACGTAAGAAGCTAGCAAAAGACATTTGAAGGGATCATCATAGCACCATGCAAAACGTTCAGATTAGAGAGGTTAGTTAATCAATAAGTTGGGGGACAGGCGGGAAAAATACCAACTAAATAATAAAGAGATGCATACCTGCATCTTTTCCTCGTTTCTCCTCCTCTTCTTTTCTTTTTTTCCGAAATTGGGCACCAGATGGCTTCGACCGCTTCTTCTCCATTATGTTTGTGAGCGGTGATATGTGAAACGGTACCTGTATCCCTCCATCATCACTCTCCGAGATCCCTCCGTCCCCCACCTGATGAAGGGCGCTATAGAGCGCACTACAGAGGCGCGGCGGACACAAGGGGGCGCAATAAAATCCCAATATAAACGCAAACAATGACTTTGTTGTGCTTTTATTACAGAAATATTATTATTATCATCACTCATCACTATTATTATTATGAAGAACATGTGATTTCTATGTTTTGTTGATGTATCGGTTGATGGAAGAAAAAAAAAAAAGAAATTAAATGCCGCCCCCTCCAGACTGCCGCCCTGTTCGGCCGCACATGTTGCACATATCAAGCTCCGCCACTGGTTACCCATTAACCATGCTCTACATGGTCAAGCTCCTCCCTATATGACTGAACTCTTAAAGCCTTATGCTCCAACTCAAGCCCACAGGTCCACCCACCAGAACCTCATACAGTAGAAGTTCCAAAGACCAGATATAAAAGCCGAGGTGATCGCTCCTTCCAGACTGTTGCACCCCGACTATGGAGTGATCTTCCTTTATCCTTACACAGCAATGACAGTCTGGACACTTTTAAAAAACAGCCAAAGACCCTTTTATTTAAAGCTGCTTTTACCTACATTTTTTATTTTCTTATTTTTAACTCAAATTTGTAATCTCTCATCTGTTTATGAAATTTTATAATTTTATGACTTTATTTTTTCTGACGTTAAACTATTTCTGTTTTGAGATTGTTATGATTTTATGACTTTATTTAGTTTTGATCTATGTGAAGCACTTGGTGATTCTATGTCTGTGATAAGTGCTATATAAATAAAATGTACTTACTACACATCCTAATCTAGTGACTGCCTTCATCTGTAGGGTGGTTTTTAAATTTGATAATAAACAACTGCCTGTTGGTTTGCGTTGCAACAACAAAGGGTTCCCCTTAACTTAATTCTGTGGTTGAAGTATGAGAATCATCTGTGTTTTTGTCCAAACTTCAAATTAGGACAAAAAAAAAAAAAACAGCTGGTCTATTACTGGTAATTGTAAAGCTTACGCAACACGTTGTTCTTTTATTTTGTTTCCAGAAGATTCACTGGCACTTTTAATGTGACGTTCAAGGTTATGAATGGATTATGTAAGGGATGACTTGCAAAAACAAAACATTAGTTTACTCCATCCCGTTCAACTTTTAAAGGAATACCGGCTTTTCCTAAGGCCTTTGCGTTTGCTAAGATATTAGTTGAGTCATTTTTTAATCCAAAAGCATTTTTTTTCCTTGTTAAAAACATTTAAGAGGTTACTGGATAAAAACAATGTTTGCATCTTTATCTGTTGCAGATCCACACATGACTGTAGCTCGACTGTCTCGGTGTGAAGCGTACACCGCTCTGGGGCAGTACCGGCTGGCCTTGGAGGACACCGAGTTCTGCTGCAGGTCCAGCTGTCAGGCTGAAGTAGGTCACTCACTCACTCACTCACTCACTCACTCACTCACTCACTCACTCACTCACTCACTCACTCACTCACTCACAAAGCTGCTGTTTCACTTTAAAAACAAGAGTAGGCCACTTTTACCTGTTACATCTTAAAAAAGAGATGCTTCAGTCAACGTAAAACACAAAAAATCCACTCTGAATTTGTTATTTTTCGGTCAGCCTCTGAACTCAGTGGCAGATAAATCTCGGATGCTCACTTAGCTAAAGTCATCTGATATCAGTTATGATTTGTATGTCATGTTTTTTTTATTTTGTTTGTTACATTCCCTTACAGCAAAATGGCTGAAACTTTAAATTAGCATTTATCCATAGAAACTAGGGATGCACGATAGTAGGAAAACCTGCAATATGTGATAACAGTGATTAATATTGCGATGACAATATTGCTTGCGATAAATAAAAACTTAACTCAGGAACAAAAATAATCAAAGACAAAGAATTAAAAAAATGACAAAAAAAGTAACATAATGAGAAAAGCAAAAGATGTGAGGAAAGGGAAAAAGAAAATGAACAAGAAAAGACAATCAGTGGATCCCGGGAAAAGTACAATCAGCAGAAAGAGCAGAACAAAGCTAACGCTGGTGTTTGCTAACCATCTAAATTAAGTGCCGTCCGCCTCGGGGGCGGGCATCTAACCTAAGAGAACCCACCCAATTGGCCAAATGGGTGAAGAGCTCTATTTGATTTGTTAAAAAAAAAACATCATGCGTCTGTTTGATTGACAGAATGCGTTATATTTAGCAAACATCTGAGCTCACCATACATTGCGATATTTATCAGTTCTTTGCGATATGCATATTGCACATGCTGATACCGCAATAACGATATACAGTCAGGTCCATAAATATTGGAACATCAACACAATGCTAACATGTTTGGCTCTATACACCACCACAATGGATATCAAATGAAACGAACAAGATGTGCTTTAACTGCAGACTGTCAGCTTTTATTTGAGGGTATTTACATCCAAATCAGGTGAACGGTGTAGGAAAGACAACAGTTTGCATATGTGCCTCCCACTTGTTAAGGGACCAAAAGTAATGGGACAGAATAAGAACCATAAATCAAACTTATACATTTCATTACTTGATTGCAAATCCTTTGCAGTCATTTACAGCCTGAAGTCTGGAACACATAGACATCACCAGATGTTGGGTTTCATCCCTGGTGATGCTCTGCCAGGTCTCTACTGCAACAGTCTTCAGTTCCTGCTTGTTCCTGGGGCATTTTCCCTTCAGTTTTGTCTTCAGCAAGTGAAATGCATGCTCAATCGGATTCAGGTCAGGTGACTGACTTGGCCATTACAAAAAAGTCCACTTCTTTCCCTTCAAAAACTCTTTGGTTGCTTTTGCAGTATGCTTTGGGTCATTGTCCATCTGCACTGTGAAGCGCCGTCCAGTGAGTTCTGAGGCATTTGGCTGAATATGAGCAGATAATGTTGCCCGAAACACTTCAGAAATCATTGTGCTGCTTTTGTCAGCATTAAACATTTTTGCGTGTCCTCTCTGACCTTTCAGGCACTCTTCAGGAAAGCTACGGTGCTGCAGAAACTGGGTCAGGTGGACGAGTCTCTCCAAGTCTTCCTCCACTGCTTGACTGTTAATGAGGACTTCCCAGGTGCTAAGAGACACGTGGAGAAGGTCAGATTTGGGATTCAGTTGCTATTTTTGTGGAAGAGAATATCTCAGACTCTCTTTCTGGGGGCAGTCTGAGAAGTTTAGGGTCAAACGGGGTTTAGTTTTTCACTTCTGACCAAATAAACACAAGAGCCATAACATGAGACTACTTGTTTGCTGGCCAGGAACGTAAAAGCACAGTCACTTGCTCTTGTTATCAGCATTGATACAACCCTGACTTAGTGGTTAATAATTACACTCTGCTTAAGGTTAATTATGTAATAAAACATTCAGCTGGCACATGGAAGGGTTGTTGTTCCAGCATCCTGCTCTTTCATAATAAATAACTGTTTCTGTGCACACATTTTAGAACGGTTTGAAAACATAAGGGAAAGTTTAGAGCTTGTATCCATACAGGTCTGTGGTTCGTCTTTAGTTCTGTTTACCTCCGTCACAGAGGTGTCACAGGAAATGACGTACTTTATTTTTTACTATTTAAGCAACTGAAAATCTGCACGTTCCTTTTATTTAGGACATTTCCAGATGCTTCACACTTGTTTGGTATTTGACTTCTTGTCTGGCCTAATCTGAACTTTAGAGTTTGACGCTTTCTGGAAGTGTAGCACGTAAAAAATAGACTTGAAGTGCGAGCAACTGCACAGTTCCAAAACACGCTTTGCAGACAGTGAAAACATACCCATCCACTATAAGGGCTGCTAATAGGGAGTGACTTGATTTCCTTCTCTGAGCTGCATGGCCTTGCTCGCTGATTTCTCAACAACTTAAAGACACGGGTCTATGACGGTGTTAGGCGCTCACCTGGAAACCTTTAGGGTTTATTTTCTGGGAGTCCGAAAATTTCGGGAGGTTTTGACAAAAAAAAAAAAACAGAGATAATTAAAACATTCATGACTAAGATATGACAATAAAATGTGCACGGCTGTTTCAAACCGTTTGCAGTTGCATCCAGTTCTGCATGGGACAGAGCCGTGGATAAAAGCTGCTGCAAAGATGTCCATTAGAACTGTTCTGAGCACGTTTGCGTTGAGTTTTGCATTTTTGTCTCCCCGACTAGTTGCAGCCAAACGAGAAACGGACCTAAAGACTTGTTGAGACATTTACCCAGTGTTGTAAATATGTCAACTTCACTTTCTACCTTTGTGTGATCATTGGAATTACATAAGGAGTTAGTAGGTCAGGTCCTGTGACTCTGTAATGATATTAGTACCACTTAATGACAGAACACTGACAGCATTGTAGTTATGTAAGTGACACATTTCACTCGTGCATTGTGCATCAACAATTATTCAGGGCTACGGTTTGTCTTTGTTTACAAGATGGCTCCAAAACTTTGCAGACTTTTCAAAAGTTCATAATGTTTATATGTTTTGCAGATGTTTGGTTATAAATCTGCTTTCTGGTGTTGGTCTGCAGCTTTTCTGACTCGTTATTCCGTCTTGTAGAAATCACGTTGACCAGAGTTGCTGTTTTTGCAGATTTTGTGCGACCTGCTTTCTCCAGCTGATGAGAACGTGAAAGTCGGCCTGAGAGAAACGACGCAGAGCACGCTGCCTCACCTACGCACTAAAACTCTTGTAGAAAATGCTTCCGTGGAGCCACAGAGCCCGGTTCAGAGACGGCACCAGCACCGGGTCTGCGCCGCCTCTGCCCACCACACAGACAGCCAGGAGGTACCTGCATGGTGAACTCTTCAGTCACAGGTTATTCAGTCAGACTAATCCAGTGACACCCCCACCACTTTCTCATGTCGTTGTTCAGAAACTGTGCGAAAGCCCAGAGCGCCCCGGTCTGAGCCGAGCCCAGTCGCTGCGAATGCACGGCTCCAGCAGTATGGAAGAAGGGCTAAAGAGAGTTAGTTCAGCTCCTCAGCTGGGCGATCAAGACAAGGGAAGCCTGCTGAAGAGGAAGCTGTCTGTGTCGGACGTGGAGGCCTACCTGGTGGACAGTGGGAGTAGCAAATATAAAAAACAAGGTCAGCTCCCGGCCTTCACCGTCACTCCTAACGGCACAATAATGAGATTAATCCTTAATCTTTGCTTCTGGATGACTTCAGGTTGGACAAAAGGCTCCAAACACCAAACAGCCAAAGCGAAACCCTGCAGACAAGTTCCCGAGGATCTGCTGGACCCCAACGACTTGGAGTGTTCCCTCTGCATGAGGTAAGGTCACCCCAGAGAGCCACCGCACGTGTAAACCTGTCCGATGAGCCAGCTGATCGTTACATCTCACTGACCAACACAGATTGTTTTATGAGCCGGTGTCTACACCGTGTGGCCACACGTTCTGTAAAAACTGCCTGGAGCGCTGCTTGGACCACACCCCCCAGTGTCCCCTCTGCAAGGAGAGTCTGAAAGAGGTAAGACGGTTCCACTCCTGAGAAATCAGCCTCCTCATTCACACCGCCACTCCTTTGTGACATTAATTCTGGTGTTTTCAGTATCTAGCATTCAGGAAGTACACAGTGACAGCAGTGTTGGACACGCTAATTAAGCAGCACCTGAGGCATGAGCATGAAGAGAGGTTTAAAACCCACCTGGAGGAGAACCAGGAGCTTTCCGAGTAAGCAGCCTTTCTTTTCCTTACCGGTGTGCAGAAGATTCTCAACCAGTCTAAATAATCCACCTTTCTGTTCCTCTCTGCAGCCTGATGAAGAATGTGCCTGTTTTTGTTTGTACCATGGCTTACCCAACTGTGCCTTGTCCTCTGCACGTCTTTGAGCCTCGTTATCGCCTCATGATTCGCCGCTGCATGGACACGGGCACGCAGCAGTTTGGGATGTGCATTAGTGAGCCTGAAAAGGGGTGAGCATGCTAACATACACACGTGTACATATGCTCTGTCCTTGTAGTAATAACTCTGGACGCAGAGCAGTTGCAGACTGATCTGTTAGTAAAAGGAGCGTTTATGTTCATGTTGCAGGTTTGCAGATTATGGCTGCATGCTGATCATCAGGAGCGTCCATTTCCTCCCTGACGGACGATCTGTGGTCGATACCGTCGGAGGAAAAAGGTTCCGAGTCTTGACCAGAGGAATGAAGGATGGCTACAACACTGCAGACATCGAACACTTGGAGGACAACAGGGTGAGAACCACCTTAACATTATGTTACGGGCATCACTGAGTGCCTCTAAAGAAACCGACGTCATTACAACTTATTCTAATAAATCAGATAAATAAATGTATCCAGTTAAGACTCTGATGAAGTGATGATCTGTCAGGTGGTGGACAGAGAAGTCCTGGAAAAGCTACAAGATCTGCACGACGCCGTGTACGAACAGGCCCAGGTCTGGTTCCAGAACCTGAAGATCCGCTTCCACAATCAGATTCTGCAGCACTTTGGACCAATGCCAGAGCGAGAAGCTGACATCCAGGTACAGGAACGGTTTGTGGAGGAGGTTTAAACGACACAAATAATGTGTTTGAAGTGTTAGAGAGGTCACGTTGGCAGAATATCAGCAATCTTAAGGGTTTAAATTACTTTCACCAAAATGTGTGTGTGTGTGCGCGCGTGCGTGCGTGCGCGCGTGCGTGCGTGCGCACGCATAGACCATATTGGAGATGGGCCAAACCATTTTTGTGCTGTGGGGGGTTCCTGTCCACTGTATCAAGCACAATTAGGAATCACTTAATCCATTTTATGGATTTTAATGGAAAAACCCAAAAGTGACCAAGATGGCTGCTGCAGCTAATCAGCCGTTAGCAAAGCGGACGCAAAGAACAGCTACCAACATTTCAACACTCGGTGTGTCGTCATCAGAGTTAATGTGAACACTTAGAAGAAGGTAACCATGCTCAGGTGTGCTTATTGGTCAGGAACAAACAAGGTGTTACCTGCACATTACCTACCTCAGCTGTAACTAGATTACCCTATTTTCCGGAGTATAAGTCGCACCAGCCATAAAATGTATAATGAAGAAGAAGAAAAAACATATATAAGTCGCACTGGACTATAAGTTGCATTTTGGGGGGAAATTTTATTATTTTTCTTACAAAATTTGAGACCAAGCATTTCACATTGCAAGACAAGTACCGGTAACAATAACAGGATAAAGAATCGGGGCGCAGCAGCGCGCCACGGTCTCCAGCAGAGGATGGCGGTGTTTCAAACCCTCCCAGCAGGCAGGTAGAGCGCCCGCACCACCCCGCCACAGGCTGCAGCAGGTGATGGCGGTGTTTGAAACCCTCCCAGTGGGGCAGAGGAGCTGAAACCTGGACCGGAGCCGGCCCGCAGCAGCGCGGTTTACATAATTTGGCATATAAGTCACTTTGTTAAGTCGCAGGACCAGCCAGACTATGAAAAAAAGTGCGACTTATAGTCCAGAAAATACGGTATTTACTTCTTGTTTTATTTAAGAAGATAACATATTAAAATATGCAAAACTACAAATGTGTGCACAAGAACAAGTCTCCTATCGAGGTTCCATTATTCCTGTTGTTTGCTATAAACACCATTATTCTTTAGAAGCAAGATAAATTGATGTCCTCATTAATACCGGAAGGTTCAAAAGTGTTAAGAGGGTGGATCTGATAAGCTTCTCTATGAAGGAGAAGCTTAATAACATCACCTCCTCTTGAAGGATGAGATTTTTTCCCATCTCCCAAAATCCAAGAGATGCTGCAGAGGAATGGAACAGTGGATGTGAGAGACTGAATGGGAACAAATGTTCTGTTTTTACTAAAACTTTCAGATAAAGTTGAATTCATGACTCTCTGTTATACTTCTCATCAGGACTGTACCTTTAGGTGGACGCAGAGCTGAAGCTTTCAGCACTCAGACACATTACGCAGCGCTTTGACAATAAGCTTTTTGTCTTAAATTGACTCGTCTCATGACACGCTGCCTTTAGGGAAAACTCGCTGACACAGATCCAAAAGCCTCAGAGGTCTCAGGAAGGCGGGTTTTGTGTGTCGGCTCGACCGCTAGCTTGTTCCGGAGCGCGCGGAGGGAGGATTACATCTTCTGCTGCTCAGGCTATTGACGATGTGGGCTAAAGAGCTTAATGAATGCTTCAGGAGTAAGCTCACAGGTGGTTGTGTCACATAGTCGTCATGTAAAGATGCCACACACACACACACGCACGCACGCACACACACACACACACACACACACACACACACACACACACACACACACACACAGAAACCAAAACAAGAAGTGAGAGGTCGATTTCTGTTATGTAATCTAGAAAAGTGTTTGGCACAGGGTGATACAGAAGAACCTTGGTAGGTAGCTCAGTGGCCTAGTGGTAGAGTGTTTGCCCTGAGACTGGGAGATCAGGGTTCGATTCCTGGTCGGGTCATACCAAAGACTTTGAAAAAATGGGACCCAATGCCTCCCTGCTTGACACTCAGCATTAAGGGGTTGGATTGGGGGGTTAAACCACCAAATGGTTCCCGAGCACGGCTGTGTCTGCAGCTCACCGCTCCCCCAGGGGATGGGTCAAATGCGGAGAACAAATGTCGCACACACACCTGTGTGTGTGACAACTAATGGGACTTTACCTTTAACTTTAAATATGTGAAATAATTAATACAGGAAACCTAAAATCCACGTGAAGCACATTTATTTAAAGAGCAAGTCAACCCCTACCAGAGTCTAACTCCACTCTCACTTCCTGTTTGAAAAATGCAACAAATGCTGTAGCCAGGCAGACCGAGAGGGCGGAGCCACTAACAAATACACACACACAGGCTCACGACAGCATTGTGACATCATAATGTACCCGTTTACATCATAGCATACCTGTTAGCCAATAGCGGTGGCAGATTTAAATTCAAATGCAGTGCAGAGTTTTTACCTGACAACGACACAACACTGACAGTTTTAGGCAGAATATTTAAATTTTAACTCAAATGCACTGAAGTAACAAATTATTGACCACACGTGTCTCAGCACGATTAAACACTCGTTTATTTAGTTTTTCAACAAAAAAAAAGTTTATTTGGGGTGACTTGCTCTTTAAGTGGGCTCGATTCTTGGAGACAGGAACGACTTTCAGCGGTCTCTGATAACCCCTTCCAGCGTCGAGGAGCTGAGTGCTTCATTAAATCAGAGGCCATGTAGCAGCAGGGTGATTGGTTAGGAAACGGACCAAGCTGCTGTGACTCAGAAACAGCTAGAAGCTCGAGTAAATGCGTACTATGTTTCAGCTACTTTGATGCTGCATCAGAGCTAATTAAAAAAAATCTGTGTGTGTTTTGTAGCGGCTGATTAGTTAGAGATGGTGTCATGGATGACTGGATTTGATTACAGCTGTGATACATCCCAGCAGAGGAGGGCGGAGAGGAAAACGGAGAAGCCTCTGTGACTCGACCAGGAGCTGAGATGTTACACTCAGCCGCTGTTGCACAAAAGCTGCAGCGTGAAGCTTTGGTCTCTGGTGCTCATTTCTGATGGATCCTTTTTCCTGCAGGCGACTCCAAACGGTCCGGCGTGGTGCTGGTGGCTGCTGGCCGTGCTGCCCATAGACCCCCGGCACCAGCTCTCTGTCCTCTCCATGACCAGCCTCAAAGACCGCCTGGTGAAGATCCAGCACATCCTGACATATCTACAGAACATCCCCAGCAACTAGCGCTTCCCCTCAACAACTGTCCCTCTGGAAAACCATCAGTCTGCTTCTGAATACTTGCAGCATTTTCACATTTACAGGCACACACCCTGCAAGCACCTTTCTGTGTGTGAAACACACCAGATCAGTAAAAACCAGAGAAGTGGTCGAACCCTCTCAGGATGGATTTTGGTCACAATGCACTTAGTCTTCAGAACTCCCTTCATGATGTAGGGGTTGGAGAGCTGGCTCTAGAGTTTTCCAGTATTAATTGGCTTTGGTCAGAAAGAAAAATGAGTTTTCTAAATGCTGAAAGCCTAAAAAGGAGATGGCAAAATGCCACATCATCATTATTATCATTATTATTATTATTATTATTATTATTATTGTACTTCACTTCCAGGTTTAGAGGAGCAGTTGTGAGGGAACCTGAAAAGTGCAACAAAAGGCTGGTTTATCTAAATGTTTGTGATGAAAGTATTACTCCTGGAACATTTTCTTATGTTTTTGCTTGAAACGCACAACTTCCATTGCTGCCACCAAGTGGCGAACGACCCATCGCTTTTACTTCCTGTCTTTTGTTTACTTTTGACTTTCTTCCAAGTTCTCAAACACACTTTTTTGTTTAAGCTAACCATCTCATGACAACCTCAGGGTTGGCCCTTCCTTCCCTTTCTGGTTTTCCCCACGTTTCTGCTCATTTCTAAACAAATTCCAGTTGAAGTGGAAATATTTCAGTTCATCTCCTATTTATTCTAAATGAAACCGAATTAATTTATGAAGTGTAACAGTGCTGATTTTGACTTTGTTTCTGGAATACTAAGCTGCGTTAATCTGACAAGTCAAAACCAGTAAATCTATCAAGTATCTGAGATGACGTCTAGATAAATAGCTGCTGCAGGCCCCTTACTGTGACTTTAATAAGATACATCAACTTGGTTGCAATTCCTTGTTTTTTTGCATGACTTTTGAAAACGTTGTCTATGAAAAATCAAAATTTGATGAAATGGAGATAATTTTTGGACAAGTCCTGCTTTTTGCTAAAATGTTTTAAGTTATCAATTTGCAATAATAAATGCACATTTTTCAGTATTATTTTGGGTTTATTTGTTATTAGTGTGTTCTCATTAGAACAGATTATAACCGTGGAAAATAAAGTCTTTACACGTTTGTGAAGCTAAAATCTGCATCAACAAATGAAACAGTTCGGAGGAAAAAGCAAAGGAATCTGTACAAGTTTGAGCCACAGGGGGGCAACCATGCAGCATCTGTGCTCCATTTCAGTCAAATGTTGCATAACTCACCTTTTACCCACTGCACTCACACAACCTCGGCTTTTATTCTGTCTACAAAGGGACATCTAAGATTTGATGTGATTTTAAATCAAGCCATTAAATGTATAAAGCCTCAGAAACGAGATTACAACAGCCGGAAGTAGAGCGTGGTGGTGGCACAGCTTCTCAATCCACTTCTTCCATGAGAGGTCACCGTGCAGAAAGCATCATCACAAACTCTGCAGGAGAGAGAGAGACGGCAGATCCACTCAGAAGGAATCTTGGTGCTCGTTTATAAAACGCTCTAGTTGAGACAGTTTTTAGGTTTGCAAACAGGAAATAAAACCTTCCAGTCAATCCAGGCTCTAACTAGATTAAATTGATCGGTTGTTTTTTGGAGGCCGCTGCAGATTTCTTCCAGCTGCTTTTGTGAAATCCTTTCCTGTTTATCTGAGGCTGACAAAACTGGAGCTCCCTCCTGCATAAACAGTTTCCACACCCCAAACTCTGTAAGGTATTCTAGTGGATTTTGACCTGTGCAGTGCATTAACGACATTTCTCCTGCTGCCCCGGTGCTGACGTATAAAAATTGATCACGACAGATCTAATTACGATGCATGTTGTGTCTACGGTGTCTCCACACACCAAGAGGAAGCAGATTGGAATATTGCTTATGCAGAGTCCTTGAGATGACCTGCTCTATGGTGCAACAGGTGTCCAGGCTGAAGCCACTCTTATCAGTCAATCTATCTTGACTCAATCATTCCCATCATTCCCATGTTTTACCACAACATTCCCAACTCATTTCCTCTCCGCCCACAGCCCGCCATGTGGAAAATAATGCCTGCTCCTTTGGGTTTCCTATGAAATTCTGCCATTCCTGATGCAACAAACATGGCACAATTTCTTTCTTTATAGTGGAAAGTACAGGAAAATAAGCCCTACAGTGAGAAGACTACTTTAAAGATATCCTCTATTCCACAGAGATAGTTGATAAGCAGTAAGTTGCCTAAAGATCAAGTTCACTATTTTTCTCAACACATTTGCCGTGGTCTTCGTTACAAATGAATGCCTAGAAGGTAGAAGTTAGTGAGAGTGGAAAAGAAGAATTCCTGATATCTGGACATCTTGCTTTTAATTGGATAACAGCAACGTGACTTCCAATGACTATGTTTGCTTTGCAACGTTGATGTTTTAGCTCCACAAATAACACAAGCCTGGAGGAGTTCTGCCATGTGAAGGAGTTGCTAATACTAATAGCTTCTGCTAGCCGAGACGTGCTCTGCTCTCTCCTGGACACTAAAGCAAAAAAAAACCGTCTTCCCCACCAATGTGGGTGAGTCCGCGAATGCTAATTTCGCTCTTTAAAGCAGCAATCTGCAGTTTTTCCCCTTGCAGGAATTATGTTAGCCTAGAATCGACACGCAGTTTACCGAAGCAAAATAATGTTGCTTTGCATGTCGGTCTTGCAATGGTCCACTGGAACCTCCTCCACCCCGGCCAGTATTTTAGCTGGCCAATCACAGCACCTTTATTTAGAAAAACAATGTATATTTTAATCTTGTGTGTGTGTGTGTGTGTGTGTGTGTGTCTGCTGTGTCTTCTCGATCCCCGGTGAGTCATGGTGGATGGCTGCTTATACTGAGCCAGGATCCTCTGGAGGTTTCTTCCTGTTAAAAGAGTTTTCCTCTCCACTGTCGCTAAATGCTTGCTTAGTATGAGGATTGCTGTAAAGACGCTGACACTAGTCAGTGACTCAATGTAATTTGCTGGGCTCCTTATATAGGAACTTGTTATTGGCTTCATGAACTGAACTGTATTGGAATGTTTACTATGTGAAGTGCCTTGAGATGACACTTGTTGTGATTTGGCGCTATATAAATAAACTCCAATTGAATTGAATCTTCTTCCCTTCTCCACGAAGTATGGTGGACAGCCATGTTGACTGACATCCATAGTAATACGTCACATTGTTTGTTATGCAACAACATGTGAAGACAGTTTAAAAGACAACCATAGGTCCTTCCCCAGGACTGAGAGTCAATGGATTTTGGCCAGATTATATTCACATATATAGGATGACTTGGTATCGATCACGATACTGGTATCGGTATCGGTGCATCCCTACTAGAATTATGTAATTTTTTTAGAAATCAGTAAAAGTGATAGTCTTACCTTACTGTGATATAATCTAGACAATAATACTGTAAAGAATAAAAACCCTGCTGGCTCAAATAGAACTAGAATGGGGCAACAGTGGCACAGGAGTTAAGTGCTCGCCCCATAATCGGAAGGTTTAAGGTTCGAGCCCCGCTCAGTTTGTCACTGCGTTGTGTCCTTGGGCAAGACACTTGATCCCCCTTCCTGCTGGTGGTGGTCGGAGGGACCGGTGGCACCTGTGCTTGGCAGCCTGGCCTCTGTCAGTGTTCCCCAGGGCAGCTGTGGCTACATCGTAGCTCATCCCCACCAGGGAGTGAATGTGTGTGTGAATGGGTGGATGCTTGATTGTGCTGTAAAGCGCCTTGGGGGGTTCCAAGACTCTAGAAGGCCATTTACCATTTAGAATTTAAAATATGGCTTCAGATTGACTTCATAAGTGTTAGAAGTTTGTCTTATAAACAATGATGGAAACAGTGATGGTCAACTGTTTTTATTTTTCTTGTTTATTTTTTATTTCAATAAAATATCTCAAAAATAACATATGTTGTTTTTTAATGTTTTTAATGTACATTTTTACTATGAGGAGTTCTATCTGCTCTGGGTTCTGATCTACTTACCATCAAAGTCAATGCTGCCATCTTTGTTGATGTCAATATCGCAGAGGATCTCCTCCAGCTCCCCTTTCTTCAGCTTCTCCCCAAGGAGGGTCTTCATGCCCTCCTTCAGCTCCTCCAGTGTGATCTTTCCATTGCCATCACAGTCAAACTGTTAGTTGGGGGGGGGGCATGACAAGAAAGACAAAAACGACAAATATTGTAGGTAGATGAGGACAATGAAAAGAGACACAATGGTAACAGAACGAAACAGCGTCACGTCAAAGACGGAAGATTTAACAGAAAATAATGAATGATGAAGTGATCAGAAGAGTCAAAGCTGAGTTATGTAACAGCAACACGAGGTTCCTGTTAGACTGAAAACAGCTTGAGACTACAGATGGTTCACTGCTGACTCACGACGTGTTAAAGTGGGGAAGTAAACTTCTGAAGCAGCTCTGATTTGAAATCAGTTCTCTTTAATTCTGGCTGTTTGGTTTTCTGGAGCCGCACTTGGTAAATAGATTAGATAAACTGATTCATATTTCAGAGATTAAACAGAGGAAACGTGCAAAAATCATTGACTAAAAACGACAACGTTTAAGATGTTTGTTTCTCATCGGGCAGAGAGCTGAATCCCAGAAACACGCAGAACCTTCAGATATGTTCTCAGTTCCCATCATGATGAGCATGCACATCATGATGGGAACCGGCTCTTGGAGAGTACTGACGCTTTTTTCCTCCTCTCCTCCCTATCTTATCCCAAGGCTCGTGGTCTGTCTCTGGGTGTACGGTTGCTTCTGCATTTTTTCTGGAAACTGAAATAATTAAAAATGTACCTGGTCAGTTGGTCACTTAACGCGACTGACAACATGTTTTCAACGATGAGAACGGGAGAAGGGGCTCCTGGGTGCCCCTCTGGGACAGAGCCAGCTGGGCATATCAAGGATTCCTGGAAACAGTGGAACCTGATTTGCCTATCTCAGCTGTCTGTAGAGGATTCTGAAGACGTCTGGATATTCGTGGTGTTGGTGTCAGGTTTCCTGCTCTTTGGCCTAGGAGGCTTCCTGGGTTACCAGAAAATTAACGAGCTGTCGAGGAATATTGGCGCTCTCCCTGAGCTCAAGGATGGATTACAGCACGCTGTGAATTCACAGACTCATATAATTGTCGAGATGAGTCGTAAGCTTGGAATTTTGGCTGAGATTCATGCGTTGGCACAAAAGATGGATGCCATCAAGGAGCGAGTGGACGGATCAGCACGGATTGGGATAGATTAATTTACGCCATTATTGGGATTTTGAGAGGTTGAGGATCAACGGAACTTTAAGACAGAGAGGAAATTATCTCTGTCTGGCTCCAAAACAATTTCTAATCTGAATCTGGTGCCCTTGAGCCTGTGAGGCTGCAACGAATACTCCCCCTCAGAAGAAATGTGCAATGCTGCTGTCACTATGGCAACTCTGTCTCCCTATCCCAGCCTGGGCAGGACTGTGGGCTGTCAAGGCCGCTGAATCGTTCCAGGAGTCACTGTGCCCTCCAAACCCCAGCGACCTCCCTCCCCTGTCCAGACTGAGGTGACGTGCGCTGCTTATTATGGCTGCAGGCACTGACGTGTGGAGAGTCCCAAACCCACCACCCAACCCAGTGGACACTTATGTTGTGTTATGTCTGAAGTCTGTTGCATTTCTGTTTGAGGTGTTTTTTGCATAGCAAAGCTGCCCTCCCTGTGGAACTCTGAAGTGCTGTTTTTTTCCTCCACCTGAACCAATCCTCATGCAACCCCTCTGATCTCTATTAAGGTAGTGCGACTCAGGGTTGCGACTGACCACAGTCACCAATTCTTGCCATGTGTCTTTGCCTATGTATGTCTGATCTCTGAATTGTGTGTACTGAAACTCTAATTTCCCTCTGGGATAAATAAAGTATCTTTGAAATGAATTGAATTTGAATCAGTGCTGTCTGCGTTTGCCGTAACCTTTATAAAAAGCTCTTCTGCTGTGCTGCATAATCGAAAGGTTCCCAGGTGTTTTTGGATGTGTGTATAAATAAAATAACCACCAAATTCCTATCTGTGATAACATCTTGTTAACACAAATTAGATGCAGTTTATAAAAAATCCTGCCATGTGAATTCATGGATTTTAATTCACATTCGGTCTCTCACAGTTGAAGTGTACCTATGATGAAAATTACTGACCTCTGTCATCATTTTAAGTGGGAGAACTTGCACAATCGGTGGCTGACTAAATACTTTTTTGCTCCACTGTATATAGTAGACTTAGCATTTTTTAACCCTCCCACTGTCCTAATGGGTGTGACCCTGCGAGGAAAGTTGACCACTGAGCAGGGTTGATGGTTTATCCCTTGGGTCCATGTGGCAGGGGTGAGGAGTGAGCACCACCTCACCCCTGCCACGTGGACCTCAAGGGATAAACCATCAATCCTGCTCAATGGTCGACTTTCCTTGCGGGGGTCACCCATAAAGACAGTGGGAGGGTTATAAATAGTAGGCATACTCACACATAGAAAGTATCATTGTGAATAATTCGTATGGCCTTTTCATTGTATAAAAGTAGCTCACGGGCCAAAAAAGGTTGGACACCTTCCAAAAATATGTGAAAAAACAGAATCAAAAACGAGATGCAATATATTTTGGAGTGGTATTACCGTAGTATGATGACATCATCGGCAGGCGCAGGATCCTGAGCAGATCCGGAAACTACAGCCCCAGAAAACTAGCATCGACATTGCATTCGCTCGATGGAATTAACTGAAGGACCAACAAAGTCTGAGGAGTCACGCCGAGGCTGCATGCCCCCTGCTCCACAGGTGACATTTACCGTAATGCTTTTTAAACTAGCAACAGTCATGGCAATATGGTGTAAAACTACCCTGAAATATATGTACCGCTCCCTAGTGCCAGGAAACTACACACTGCCCCTTTAAAACGGCATTAAACAATAATCAGTGGAAATAAAACATGATTTTTTTTATTCTTATTTTTCAAAATGTGAATTTTCTGGGTTGAGAAGATCCTTCAGGACTTCATTTCTCTGCTGAACCACAATCTCTGTGGAGATCTGACTGCAGCCGTCCATCCTTGCTTGACAGAATTGGTGAAGCACTACTTCCTGTGCCTGAGGACTGAGGTGGTCTGCCAGAACAAGCCTCCTGCTTCACAGTCTCATCAAACGTATTCTAAACTAAAGCCTATGCCTCACAGTTTCACAGGTCCCGGGTGAGATCCATTTACCTGTTTGAAGGCACAGCGGAGCTCTTTTAGCCCAATCATGTGAGCTGTCTCAGACAGCATCCTCGGCCCCATTAGCTCACAGAAGTCATCAAAGTCTACATGACCTCCCCCTGAGGAAAAACAGGACATGAACAAGCTAAGGGTCCAATATGGTAGATGTGGTATGTAAAATTCAGTTTAACTAACAAAACGAGTCATTTTCCTGAAGCACTTCAGTTTAAAATCTCTTTTAAAAATCTCCCACAGTAAACTGTCATCAAACTTTTTCATAGAAATGATTTGCTAATTGCATGTCAAATTAACATATTTGAAAGGTAAAGTCTTCAAAGATAAATATTTAAATTTGCTTGGAGCAGTTTTCTGTGGAAATGTTTGTTTTAGTTAGCTCTTGGAACAGCCTCAGTTTGGATAAACTGAGCATTTGTGAGTAAGGATGCTCCAATCCCATCACGTCATTTTAAATAGATCGGGATTGAGAGAAATAAATCAAATTCAACCTTTTAAAACAACAAACATAAATTCATCCTGAGATAGAAATTTTCTAATGGAACAAAAACCGCACATTTTTAATTTAATTAAGTTCCTCTACATCAATATTATTTGTTTTTTGGAATGAAACAGTAATGCCACACAATTTACGGCGGGCAGGGACTTAGAAGGCAAGTTGCAGCTGTTAGCAAGTAGGCTAACGCTGAGCTAACGTGTCTCGTCAGGAGAGCAAAAACGTCTGCAGCTTGGTGGTGTTTAAAACCGGACATTACCAGACACTTGTAATGTGTGCCTACTGGGCATTCAACATGCTGGGAAGGACAGAGCTCCAAGATTCTTTGCCTTTAAAACAAACTACTTTCACATTCGGCTTTTTCTTTCGGTCTTCAACAAAGCAAATCACCGGTCTCCGTTAATTCTCAGTTTGCCACACAGCAAAGTCAGACAAAAAGGCGGAGCCAGCTGACAATGAAAGATAATCTAATAAACAAAGAGAAATTGTCATCAAACAACAAAATGTTGGGGTTTGTAGTTCTCTTTCAGCAGCTGTGCTGCAGCTACAGGTGCTGAACAGGGAATGTCGGCCAAGGCTCCGCCTGCCTGCTCCGTCACGGGAACACGCATTGCTCGCAGCTGCATATTGAGTGAGTAAACAACTTGATATAAGAGCAACACATCTGCTTTTAATTATATTCATGATATAAACATGTTTTTTTTATCAATGCACTTCCTAAACAAGTGAACGTGAAATTTAAAGTGGACGTGGTTTCTTCTTATTTTAATGCTTTCCTAAAAAAATATTTCCTTTCTTTTTCTCCTTATTTTAATACTTTCCAGAAAATAATTTAATTTTTTCCTCTTATTTTAATGCTTTCCTGAAAAGTATCGGATCAGGACTCGGAATCGGAATCGGATCGGGAGCAAAAAAATTTGATTGGAACATCTCTACTTGTGAGTAGCACAATGAGTTAACATCTACTCTCAGAGTGACTAACACCAAAATGAATCTTAAACGAGACAATGTGTAGTTTTTGCTTTTAATATCTGGAAATGTCCATCAAAGTGTTGTTAAAAATTAATTAAATGATTCCCAGTTGTTAAGAATTGTTGGCAGCTTTTTTACACATACAAAATTGGGTCTAAGTCTCTGGGTGACGCCATATTAGATGCAATATTTCCCTCTATGTGAGTCCATGGGGACAAAATTTGTAACAAGAGGTTAAAACATTTTCACCGTTCATAAACTTTGTTGGTTTACACATTTACCTGTTTGCTTGTTGCCAGCAGTGATGGAGATAACAGCATTTAAAACTACTACGTTACTAACGGAAGTTAGGTTTTTCAGTAAGGAGTATACTGGCTTCTTTTGTCATAACGCTGTTTCTGTTACTGATAATGCATGCAGCAACACAATGTGTTTGAATGTGTTTAAATCATGAACAATGTGTTTTAAAGAACAAACCTGATCACTAGATTGAAAGCTGCAAGTCATTGATGACATATTGCCTTTTTGATGCACGTGGGCTACCGTAGCGGCAATGCATACTCTGAACTGCATGATGCTAAAGAGTCAAATATTTTCACACACAAATCAGTTACTCAAGAGTTACTGTTAACGAGTCAAGCTCATTTTTGTAAAATAAAAATGACATCTGCTGAAATTGCTGCAGTTCTGATCCTGACTGGTGCTCTAGCTATTTATTTATATGTCGATGTCTAGCACCTTAGCCGGATGTTGACATGGTTGCTATGGTTAGATACAAAGATGATTTTGGTCTTGTCTGGAGAATTCTTTACCTCATCAGTCCAGTCAGAACTTATTTCTGTTTCCCCGATTAAGTTTCTTTAGCGAGCTTTCAACAACAGGTAAGATATTAACAGTTATAACCTCTCAGAACCCTACTTCAAAGGATCTGAGCATTTCCTCAATAACAGGCTTGATGGGAAAACTCAATTTTCTGAAGTTGTGTGTGTGTGTGTGTGTGTTTTTTTTTACAGGAAACACCAGTTTCCCCATTGTACTATTATGCTCCCTTCTGCAGCGTTGGAACAGGTTTGGTTTCATTTGATCCTGTTGGTAATTATTGCAGCAGACCAACACAATGGAACTGCTCGTTGTTAGTTTGACAAAAGATGGGCTTATTTGATGGTGCGTGGACCAATAAGCTTGGTCAGTTTTCTTTATCTAGGCCTTTGTAGAAGTGAAACACTTTTAATAAGTCATGCGTTCTTTTTGTGGTTCAGAAATTTAATCAGAGCTTTGAGTCTCAAGACCATTGAGAGAGGGAATCAAACTACAGCTACACTATTCTGCTATTGTATCGTGTAAGTAATGAGACTGTCATGCAGCAGCTACAAAGTCAGCTGTAGAAATAAAGGATGTCATTGGAGCAAATGAGAGACGTTCAAGCTCAAAAAAGGGATTTTTCTTTGCCTAGAGGAGAAAATACAAACTGATTTTTACCTGTGAGGAGTAGTGTTCATTTTCTATGCAGTATGTGGGTCACCCTAAATAACAATTAATCACTTTTTTTTGTTAGTAGTCTTGTGGTACGGATATGTTCTTTTGACCTTCGTGAAGGTCTAGAGGGGATATGATGCATGATACATGGTCAGCTGGTATAGTACTATAAATGTTATAGTAACCACTTAAAGGGATAGTTCAGATTTTATCCATTAGAGCATTAACAATAAGTGAAGAACTATCTCTAACAGATTAGATATTAATTAATCATTTTGTTTCCACAGGACATACAGATGAGTATACAAGTCCATTCTGTTAAGGAAAGAAAATCATACATTTCTTTGTGGAAATCTACAAAATGATGCACAAATCTGCATCAATAAATTATATACATTATTGTGATTATCAATTAAGTTAATAAAAACCTGATACCAGTCTGGGGATTATTGTTTTACTGAGCTGAGATTTTGTCCTATAACTATAAAATAAATCATGTTGGTATGAAATGCACTCCAGTATCTCAGAATACATATCTAACCTACACATTCATTTGTTAGAGAATAGTATTTTGTTTACTGTTTTGTAAAATTAAAAAACAAAAATCTTTGTTGACTACAGCTTTTTTTAATTTTAGTCGACTAAAACTTACTAAAACCTTTTCGGGATGTAGTAGACTACAACTGACTAAACACTTTAGAGATGTAGTTGAATAAAACCGACTAAACACTTTAGAGATGTAGTCGACTAAATCCCACTAAACACTTAGAGATGTAGTCAACTAAAACTGACTAAGCACTAAGAGATGTAGTTGAATAAAACCAACTAAACACTTAGAGATGTAGTCGACTAATAACGACCAAACACTTTAGAGATGTAGTCGACTAAAACCCACTAAACTCTTGGAGATGTCGTCGACTAATACTGACTAAACACTTTAGAGATGTAGTTGACTAAAACTGACTAAACACTTAGAGATGTAGTCCACTAAATCCGACTAAACACTTGGAGTTGTATTCGACTAATACCGACTGAACACTTTAGAGATGTAGTTGACTAAAACTGACTAAACACTTAGAGATGTAGTCCACTAAATCTGACTAAACACTTGGAGTTGTAGTCGACTAATACCGACTGAACACTTCAGAGATGTAGTCGACTAAAACCCACTAAACTCTTTGAGATGTAGTCGACTAATACCGACTGAACACTTTAGAGATGTAGTCGACTAAAACCCACTAAACTCTTTGAGATGTAGTCGACTAATACCGACTGAACACTTTAGAGATGTAGTCGACTAAAGCCCACTAAACTCTTTGAGATGTAGTCGACTAAAACCCACTAAACACTTTATGTAGTCGAATAAAACCAACTAAACACTTAGAGAAGTAGTCGACTAATACAGACTTAACACTTTAGAGATGTAGTAAACTAAAACTGACTAAACACTAAGAGATGTAGTCGAATAAAACCAACTAAACACTTAGAGATGTAGTCGACTAAAACTGACTCAACACTTCAGATATGCAGTCGACTAAAACTGACTAAACACTTCAGATATGCAGTTGATTCAAACTGACTAAACACTTTAGAGATGTAGTCGACTAAAACCCACTAAACACTTAGAGATGTAGTCAACTAAAACTGACTAAACACTTCAGAAATGCAGTTGACTAAAACTGACTAAACACTTCAGATATTCAGTTGATTAAAACTGACTAAACAGAGATATAGTCGACTAAAACCGACTGAACACTTAAGAGATGTAGTCGACTAAAACCCACTAAACTCTCAGAGATGTAGCCGACTAGAACTGACTAAACACTTCAGAAATGCAGTCGACTAAAACTGACTAAACTCTTGGAGATGTAGCCGACTAGAACTGACTAAACACTTCAGAAATGCAGTCGACTAAAACTGACTAAACACTTCAGATATGCAGTTGATTAAAACTGACTAAACACTTAGAGATATAGTCGACTAAAACTGACTAAACACTTCAGAAATGCAGTCGACTAAAACTGACTAAACACTTCAGATATGCAGTTGATTAAAACTGACTAAACACTTAGAGATATAGTCGACTAAAACTGACTAAACACTTCAGAAATGCAGTCGACTAAAACTGACTAAACACTTCAGATATGCAGTTGATTAAAA